TATTTCTTTGGGATAGTTTTACTAGGCATGAGAAGTGCCTTGTGAAATATTTTCAGCCCCAATTCACCAAGAAAAATGTCAAGGACTGGTCCAGGATGATTGCTCTATGCAAAATGTACTTTTATTGTGGACTTTTCAAGTTATACCAAGTGCAAATTTATTTCCTATCATGCTATATCTCAGGCATTGTTTAAAAGACATCCTGAGTCTCCATGGATCAATTCAAAAGGATGGTAGCATTTTTTCTTCTTTCAGAAAAGATGGACCAATGTTGTAGATACTTGTTTACTTTCAGAAAAACTCTAAAAATTAGCTTTTACAGACATCATGCAATGTTCATTTTGACATTTCTACCTACCTTTTGTGTTATACACACTACAAACATTGATGGGGAGTCATTTCACCTCAATCCAACAAATATATTGAGTTAAAAATACATAAAATGGAAAACAAGTTCAAATTTACCTTTTAGAGTAGGATATAAAATTTCCTGGACCAGAAACCTTATGAAGCTCATAACAATAGCAGGGAGACCCAGTGTTCAGAATATCTCTTCCTCAAGTTGTGAATTGCTTTCAGTAGATTGCAGTCATTCAGAATTTCCCACTTTGTTACATCCCATTTTTGGCACTTGTCACAGTCAATTCCCTGCCTTATCCTGAGTTTTCAATTGTTCATCCCCAGTCTTGGTATGTACAATCTACACCATGTTAGCTATGTTTCATACACCAGAGCATAGTTCTCAAAATGTTTGGTTCTTGTGTTATAGTGCCAACTTTGTAAAAAAAGTCATGTGACATTCTTTATTGTGAGTTAGTGTAACAGAGTGGGAAATTCTGAATGACTGCAACCTACTGAAAGCAATTCACAACTTGAGGAAGAGATATTTTGAACACTGGATCTCCCTGCTATTGTTATAAGCTTCATAAAGTCTCTGGGCTAGAAAATTTTATATCCTCCTCTAAAAGGTAAATTTGAACCTGTTCTCTTATGTATTTTTCACTCAATATATTTGTTGGAATGAGGTAAAATGACTCCCCATCAATGTTTGTAGTGTGTATAATACAAAGGTTGGTAGAAATATTAAAATGAACATTGCATGATGTCCGTAGAAGCTAATTTCCAGAGTTTTTCTGGAAGTAAACAAGTATCTACAACATTGGTCCTTCTTTTCTGCAAGAAGAAAAAATGCTACCATCCTTTTGAATTGATCCATGGAGACTCAGGATGTCTTTTAAACAATGCCTAAAGTATAGCATGATAGCAAATTAATTTACACTGGGTATAACTTGAAAAGTCCCAAATAAAAGTACATCTTGCATAGAGCAAGAAAGGTGTGGGTCTCAGATCCTTGTATAAATAGGAGCTCTGTTTATTTCTTTGGGATGGTGTTACTAGGCATGAGAAGTGCCTTGTGAAATATTTTTAGCC